TGATAAAATAATTTCTAAATTATGTTTTTTCCCTTGGGAATAGAAACACTTTTTACTACAAAAACATGAGCCATGGTAACCCATTAATTCATTTGTAGTGAGGCCAGAAGGTTCAGTTACAGCTTTAATGGAAAGGATATAAAGTATTTCTTCACCATTTGTGAAGGCGTGGAGGGGGACAGGGAAGAGACCAGTACAACAGAAATGGAAGCGAGAGAATGACACTCAACAAGAAAATACTTTCCATCCACTTAACAGCTTTACATGGAACTGAATTCAGGACACAGGAGGTGAGCCAAATGATCAAATCCTTAAGGCACCCCTGCTTGTGGGAGGCTTTAATTTCAGTTTGCTTCTACAGAGATATTTTTGCACAAAACCTAGTAATTTTAATATAAAGATAAATTAGATAATGGATTAAAAATATTTTCAATTATTAAGCTAAATTGAAGTTGCTGCTTTTTCTAAGCTTAATTTTGTTTTTACCATGCCGTTCATATTATTTGAAAAACCACCCAGTAAATCCATAAAAACTCCTCACCAGTCTTCCAATTTAGCAAATGTCATTTACTCAGAATTAAAATACATGTTTAACTGTAGTTAGATATTGAAAGAAATAGGCATAAACTACATACTGTAATGCTTGATGAGATTGAGACACTATTGCAGACCACTCTTGTTTTAGTAGTGCTTTGATTAGTATTAGTATGCTTTTAGAAACAACCTCAGGAAAGTCTGTGGTTTACTAAAAAAGTTTGCACTTCTAAAATTCATATATATGTTATCAAAATTCATGGCTATCATATCTGAGGGTCTTACAGTAGAGCATTCCTTGTGTTCTCCCTTGGGGAGAAATGCATGCTCACAGAGTATCTCACGTAGGCTGTTTGGTTTTATATTTGTCATGTGAAAATTTAAACTAGAGAGAGAATAGCAAAGAAGTGTACATTGCAGTCCTTGTTGAAACTGATAGGACGTGGTGTACCAGTTTTAGTCCTTGAGAAAGCTCCCAGATACATAGCCTTCCAGGTAGGAACTCCTCATTTAGGACTCTGCTTGCCACAGAATGGGTGGAATACATGTCACTCAAATGAAGCCAAGAATAGAATTTATTGAGATAGATTAATGATTTGACAAAGCTTAATAAATTTGATAAATTTTAGTAAAAATCAAAGATTAATTGAGATTCAGTTTGATGACAAGGTTGCTGCATTACTTACTGAAGCAAATTGATTGAAAACAATTTGATTACAATATATGAGCGAGTGTGTGTGTGTATACATATTTATGTTTCACATTGTGAAAGTGACTTGGAGTGGGGCTAGGGTGATTTTCACAGGGATCTGGGATGGAAGGTGTAAGGGTGGCCCTCCCATTGAGATACCAGGGTTTTGGAATGGTTCCCCTTGCTCTAAACTCCTCGGAGAGGAGCCTAGGTGCAGCTAGATCCAATCTTAGACCAAATCAATGGTTTATGACTAAGAATATTGGGGAGATTTGGGTTATTAGAGGTAAAGGAAATCCTCCTGTTTGGCCACAGGGTTCAGAATGGATCTCTTTGCCCTCTGAACTCCTTCAGAGAGGGAGGTTACATCCACTGCTAGTCTCAGACCTGGCCAATGGTTTATGACATATAAGAGAGAAAGAATGCTTTCCTATTGGGTCATGTTCAGTGTAGGTCCCCTTGCTCTCCAGACTTCTTCAGAGAGTAAGGTTAGATCTAGCCCTAGTCCCAAATCTGCTCAACACTTTATGCCTAAGAAAATTTGGGCATTGGGACTTTAGTGTGGTACTTAGTGCAATAATGTGTTTCTTATGTAACTTGAGGTAAGTGATAGCAGCAATTCAAGTATGTTAGCAATGATACAGTAACTTATAAAATAGCAGTGCTTATCCAAATCAGTAATCCATTATAGTGAATACAATGATTCACATAAAATTAAAAAAACCTCACTAAACAGAAGCAAATCACACACACAGACACAGACACACACAGAAAGAGAGCATAGATACACAGGTATAGAGGTTAAGCTACAATTAAGATGTTGGCTTTCTGTAGATTATGGTAAATTTGGGCCACTGGACCTCTAGGATTTTCACAAAAAGATCATAGAGATCGCAAATATGCATGTTTCCCGTGATTGCCTTATTACAAGCGGATGATCATCCCTGTCATGGATCTTTGCAGGCGGCCAGTGATTCCCTTTGTCAACTTATGACAAGTAGACAGTCTTTCCCTTCATCACCTTACCAATGGTTGATCAGAGTCTGGCCTGAGAGGCATCCCAGCTCACTGGGAAATATCAAGGCTCAGCCCACTGAGATCCCAGAGTGTTCCAGCTGGGCCTCACTTCTAGGATCAGCATTTATAGGATCACAAGATCATTTACTTGGGTCAGTACTAGGGCTAGTACTTTTCCACTGTGGCCATTAATCTTGTCAGGCAAGCTTGGCTCTTCTCTGATGGGGCTGTATTCTTAGGCTGGCACCTTCCCAAAGTACTGGGATGTTATACAGTTAGGGGGTGCCTAACTGCTCCAACCTGCAACAGGACCACAGTGGGGCAGCTTTCTATAAGCTGTTTCCATATGAGACAACAGTGCAGAATCCAACCTGCTAACTTGAGAGCTGACCAGTGCAGGTGGTAGCATGTATTTTCTATGCAGAGGGTTGACAGCATGTCTGTGAACCCCTGAAAGTGTTGTTATTTTTTTTTCTTCTCCACTCCAAATTTTCCTTAGGTTCGGTATGATTTCCATCTATAATTTGATCTCATCCAGTTGCTGGCCTATCACAGCTCAGTTGGTATCCATATGTGGTCATGCCTGTGTGCTGACTATAGCACCTCTTCCTCCTGGTGGCTGCATGCTCATGACATAGAGGCCCAGGAAAAAATTAATTAATTCATTAATTCTCAAACTCCACAAACTGATGAGATGATGTCCTAGTTCCTATAATATATCTTCTGTATGAAATTAAATAGGGAAGTTACTATGTCTGTATTTTGTTCTGTTTATACAAGGTAAGAATAAATATGTATTGTTATATTTTAAATAACATCAAAATACATTTTAAAGTTTGAGGGCTTGGTCCTTCCAAGATGTTATTTCATTTGGTCAGAATTGCAGAAAACATTTGGCTATATGCATGGAAAGAGCATTGACTTTAAGTTCTAGACAAAGTAAAATCACAAGAATTCTGTTCAACTTTGAAAATGTGTTCTGATGAGTTGTATTTTGTGGTGTAAGAGAACATTGCCATTACAGAGTGAACATTGCCTTAACAGTGAACTTGACTGCTGTAGTCTGGAAAAAAGTAGCAAAATAACACACTTGAACATATGTTTGGAAGGCCTTGAGGCTGGCATAACATTGTTAAATAAATATAAAACTATTTTATTTCATATTTGGGATGCTCTAACACATCAGACTGCTTTATGAAGTCAAAATTTTATTAATTGAGTTTTTTAACATGGCTTATTATGAAAAATAGGAACAGAATAATTCTAGGAAACGAAAATGAAACTCTGAATTAAACAAACTGTTAGGTAATTTGAATTGTTTTAATAAAACTTTTTTAAAAGATGATTTGATATCACTCGAGTTACTAGATCCTACTTTTGTGATGGTATTTCAAATACCTCTGTGAAAAGATCCCTAGACTGGTTGGGATTAAAAGTATATTTTTCTGTGGACATGTTTTGGAAACTTTTTTTCCTAAGAGTAGCAGTTTTGTGCACATAATGAATTGAGCCCATGGCTTTATTAGTACTCTCATTAGTTAAAAACCTTTTTTTGATTGGTATGCAGATTTTTTTGTCCCCTTTGCATTAATACACAAGGAACAAGTCAGGAGCTAATGGCATTTTGATCTTTTAGGTATTCGTTTTAACTGAACCATGCCAAAAAAAATGTGTTTCCCCCTGTCCCCCTCTCAATTGCAAATCAGGAATGTATGTCTGTTGAAAGACAAAGCATTTTTATTAAGTGGCTACATACCTGGTTCATTCATACTTATATATCTGTGAAGAGTAAGCATACACTTAAATCATCAGTTTAAGTGGCGGTGTGAATGAAATCGAATGTTTGCAAATGTGGTTAATGTTTAACTTCATTTGACCTACTATTTTTTGTTAGACTGGGTGACAAGTTTAGATATTTAATAAGAAAAATAAAATATTTCATTAAGTATATTCTTCAAAGTATTGTGGTAGTGGCTGCTATTGTATACTAAAATAGTTCTTAAAACACTGTCATTGTTTATTTTAATAGTTTATACTAGTGCCTTTAACTAGTCCCTATAATTTTAGCAACTGTTACACTAGTTGCAGGCTTACATAATTTTGAAAGGATCGGTACTTCAGGAAATGTACAGCAGTCTTCCAGACTGCCTTGCAAGGTTTTGTCTTTCCTGATGATTGAGTATAAAATTACAAGTTATCTTTTTAAATTCTAATGTATGTTTTCAACTTGAGCAATCAGTTCACTGATACCAGTATATGCTGCTGAATCAGATATGCCAAATGGTCAGCTGAAATGGCCTGGTTTTGATACATTTTCTTTTACTTGTCTAAAAAAAAAATTGTGGTTCTTTACTGGATGTGTTCAGTTTATGTTATGTATGTATACATTCAGGTGTGGTGAGTCAAGTCTGTATTTTGAAAAATTTCCAACATTTGATTTAACTCTAGCAATTTCTGATAAATGTTTGATATGCTATTATCCTCCCATGTTTCATTAGAAAAATGGTCTCAAAGAAGTTATTGCTGCAAGCTTGTAAAAGCACCTTTATTCTTTTTCCAGTGGCAATTGTAGTATGAAGGTATATTGTCAATCTTTTTATCTTCAAATATAGTACAATGACTGTCACAAAATGCAAAGTTCATCATCATAATGACCAAAAAGAGTTTTGCTTTCTTCTGTGGTGAAGTACAACATACGTGAAGCCTATTAGTTATGTTACTAATTTTATTAATTTTTTGAATGGTCTTGTTGTTGCAGCTTCTGCTACATTTGAAGATTTTCAGATCCGGCCCCATGCTCTTTTTGTTCATTCCTATCGAGCTCCAGCCTTTTGTGACCATTGTGGAGAAATGCTATGGGGGCTGGTGCGGCAGGGACTCAAATGTGAAGGTAAGCTGCAGTGAGATGTGATATTTCTTCAGTCTCAGGAAGAGACTTGTCCATTCCACTTATGCGTGCTGTCTCTGATGCTGCTTTTAAATTGGTTAGACATCAGAAAAGTGATTACAGTAGGTAGAGACAGTAAGAACTATCAAAATAATTAACTGATTAAAAACCTAATCCTTTTGACTGCTCTGAGGCATCCTGGATATGGCTCTGTAACCTGAAGTGAAAAAAATAGTCGATATGTATTTTTAAGAAAAGTTTTCCTTTCACTCCCCTTATGAGCCTGAGCCTGTATCTCATTCTATATCGCATTAATTCAAATCATTTAGCTGAAATGACTGTCAGTCCATATGAGATTTTAATATCTATCTTCTTTCATTTTGTCACAAGTATTTGACTCCTGGCAGACTGTATCCAATGCAATATACTATCTGCAGTGAAAGACTTCCTTATCTCCCAAATGCTGATCACAGAAATTTCCTGTACTTTGAGACCATCAATTTCTGAAAAAAATCAAAGAAAAGACGCTGGTTATGGGTATAACTATTTGGAACTTTTAACATCATCTCTAAAAATTTGTAGAATATTAGAATAAAGGAGCTAAACCAGCAGAGTAGAGGAAAAAAGTTTAGTGAAAAATAAGGGTAGTGGTTTTGAATTCTTGTTTCTGGAAAAAAAAAAAAATAAAAAATTCCTTGCTTTGCCCAGTAATAAACTGTAATCAGATGGTTTTAAATTTCTCTTTTCAGGATGTGGTCTAAATTACCATAAAAGATGTGCATTTAAAATCCCTAACAACTGCAGTGGCGTGCGGAAAAGGCGCCTGTCAAATGTGTCCCTAACAGGACTCAGCACCGTTCGGACAGTTTCTGCAGAACCCTCGCCCAGCATGCCAGATGAAGCCCTTCTGGTATGGGATTCCCTAGATATAGAGACTGTGGGTGTTGCTGATAAGAAACAATGTCATTTAGTGCTATAGCATCTGTCTCATAGACTACAGAGGAGGGTGGTATGAAAATTATAAAGTGTTGCTGTGAGAAAAGGCATCTTGGTGTAAAAGGGAGGTCACTAGCTTAAGGTATGTGGGTTTAAGGTATGTGTCACTTCTGATACTCCCAGGAGTCTCCTCCCTTTGTCAAGAATTAGATTATTTTCAAGGTCTAAAACTGCCACCCATGCGAATGTGAGTAGTTGTGTCTTGGAGCTGGACAACTTCTAGTCTGGAACTAGAAGTTTAATTTTTTCTGTATCCAAGCATTATATCCATTGGTTTATGATGTAGGAAAGATTTGCCTCAGGAGAACACTGTGACTCAAACACCATGATATCAAATTGATTATCTATCATAGTCGAGGTTATAGTTAGTGGAGCTTGCAAGTTTAGCATGTTTCTAACTGTTCAGAGAGAAGTAGGAGAAATCTCCATTATTTCCTTAAACAGATCTTTATGGTGAATGTATTTATATATCTGTATATATGTGTGTAGATGTATATGTCGATATACACACAGGCACTCATAAATATATTATATACTTGTATATGCATTAATACAGTAGTTTTCCATCATGAAAACAACTTTTTGGGTGACAAAATGTAATGGCTGGAGTACATTAGAATGATATTTATTTTTTATCTTTGGCATATTTGTTCTTTTTAACACTCATGGTCATAATATACTTGAATAGTTAAGAATTTACACTGAGTGTAAATGCATCCACTCTTAAGTGAAAGTTTTGAAAACTTTAAGGTTTGAAAGAGAGGAAAGGATTTATAAGTACATACAACAATTATCATGTTTTCCTCTCAATTAGGATATTAAACTTATTAAACTTAACATACTAAAAGGACACTATTGCAAATTATATAGCCCTGGTGTTATATGCAGTACCATCTATGAACTCTAATTATGTACTTATGCTACTGATTATCATTAGCCTAAAAGCTACTTGGAAATTAAGGTTAACATTATGAATCTGTATTTTTAATTGAAAAGCTTCATAAGTGAGTATGGTGCTTAATCTTTGTAAAAACTTCAGCAACAAATCTTTGTAGATTATTCATCATTTTCAGAAGATTTTTTTTTTTTTTTTTCAGAAATGCTGAATTATTCAGGCCAGGACTGAAAATTTTGAGGAAGTTTAACCCTCATTCTGAATAATTTATCGAATTTTGGTTAAAAAAAACAAAAAACACGTGTGAGCATCCTGGAATACTCTCTATACGTACTTACTGCACTGTATAGTTACAAGATAGCAAAAATTGCAATTTGAAAACATTTTGAATTATATGACTGTGTTGTTCACCGATGTGTTCTTACACAAGGTACCTGTTTTGCAAAGCTACATGTTTTAAAACTGTTGAAAATATTACATTGCCAGTGAAGAAGTAGTTTCACATGCACTGCAGCCTGTACCTCTCTAAGAACTTGTGATCATTAGTGTACCCATGCTGATGACTCAGAACATCATAGAATCATAGAATCATAGGGGTTGGAAGGGACCTCGAAAGATTATCTAGTCCAACCCCCCTGCCAGAGCAGGGTCACCTAGAGTACATCACACAGGAAGGCGTCCAGGCGGGTTTTGAATGACTCCAGTGAAGGAGACTCCACAACCTCTCTGGGCAGCCTGTTCCAGTGCTCCGTCACCCTCACAGTAAAAAAATTTTTCCTGATATTCACCTTGAACCTCCTATGCTCCAATTTGCACCCATTACCCCTTGTCCTATTACAGGTCACACATGTGCATGCACAAAGACAGTATGCTTATAGTAGGCACAGGGATGGGCATTAGCCTAGAGAAAGGAAACAGCTTTCCAAATTAACTTTTATTTCAGGAAATCGTGGTATCATTTACTAGAGTTTCAGAAGCGCCCTCACATGTGTCTTCTATATGTCTTTTGTTTGTTTGGTGTTTGTTTTTTGTTTTGTTTTGTTTTGTTTTTTGGCATTGAATGTGTTTCTTTTTTTTCCTCCTTTTTTTAAGTGTGCATAAGCTTTGTCAGTTCTCCTGTATCAGATAGGTCCTTCGGACTCCATTCTTCTGCAGTACCTGTGAAGTTTTATGGCAGCTTATACTGTGGTGCCAATCAAAGCATGCACTTTGGCACGTGCTCGTTTTTCTACAGTCTCTGTGAACGTACCAAGAAACATCATCCTTCACAAAATCGTATCATTCGTTATTATTATTCATGTGGCTCTTGAATCACTGGTAACAAAAGATAACCTCTGTTTGGGACCACTGAATTCAATCAGATATCTGTCAATTCTTTCAATAGGGTTAAAATAAATGCTCTTTTTACACCTATTAACTATATAAGTCAGAACAGTTGAGATAGAATGAGCTCCTGGAGATCTTTCATATATGGAATTATTAACTAAGTTACGATTTCAGAACCTTTTTGTCAATGTTGTGTGAACCAGAAAGAAGCCAACTTTAGCTGACGGTATTAAATTTAACTTGTAAGTCTTGCTTCTGGAAAAATGCTACATGTGATGTGAAAAAGTTATGCTATAACTTATGTAATTGTGGCATTTGAAAAATATTTGAGACAGGATAATGTGGAATCCTGCAAAGGGTATTTCAGTTATCCTTTCATAGGAAACCACCATACAGAGACACAGTTTCAACTTGGATATAAGTGTTTTCGTTAGCCAATAAAGCTTTTCATTTGAGCTGAAACTTGACTGGGGACTGTATTTGAGTAATGCTTTTTAAAAAAAATCTGTCTCCAAAGAATAAAATCTCGGCGATATAATTTTTTCGATTCTAAACTTAGTAGTGTAAAACTCATCAACAGAAATGCTAACAAGAAATACAACTAGGAGGATGTTATGTAACTCAGATTTTTACCTGCTATAGCTCAAGCACAATTCTTTTGCATTCTACTCTGTAACATAGAATGAGAGTATTAAGAAATTGGACATTCGTGCTTGCTTCTAAAATAACATTGTTTTCTGTCTTTTTCTCCCCCTTATTTCTTTGTTCTGTTTTTTCTTCTTTCCAACTTCCTGTCTCAGTCTCCTGTCAACTCTGCCTATGAGGTATGTACTGAATTTACTCCCTATCATACTATCAAGAATATCCTCTTTTATGATTGTCGGTATCAATGTGAAGGAATGCAGGAATTTAATCAGATTAGTATGTTATAATCTTCTGAACTCAAGAGCACTTGTTTTTCTTTTAGAAAAGGTATACCAAATGTGAAACTCTAAAGTCCAGATTCCAAAGTGAAGTTCATAATGCATATGCTAACAGTCAAATTAGCTAACGTTAAAATATTTTGATACAAAATTGGCTTTTTCATTTGTTAGCCATGATAGAGGTCATTGGTTGGACTGAGGCCCCTTTTTACTGGTAGTAACACATGGGAAGAAAATTTTAACTTTCAGAACATTGGGCATTTGCTGGAGTCATGTAGAAAATAAACATTTCTTTTAAGCTGAACAAACCTGACCTTTAGGTGCTCTCCAGCAATAAACATCTCATAACATAATGCAGCATAGTACTTTTTTTTTCAGAATACGGTTGCATGAAAAAAAAAAAACAACGGTGATGGATTCTGTATTTCTATGGAAATAAATATGAGCAGTGTGCAACTAAATTACAGCTATCTACAAAAAGAGTATCAAGTCTAAAAGAGAAAACAATATGATTTTTTTTTTAATGGGTATTTCATATCAGACGTTGTCCTCTTTGGCTTTTCATATGGATTTTCCTAAGGGGATTGTTTCTTATTCAGTTTCAAAACTTTCTGAAACTATGAAATGCTGGCATCTTTCCCTTGCAGCATATATTTGAGATGCAGTCAGAGAAGAGCAGGCTTTACAAATGAGTTCCCTGTTAGAAATACTACATAGTTAATCTGAGGAATATTTCGTTATGCTGAAATAAATATTTACCTGGCCAAACATCTTGAAATAACTTTTCAATAAAGAAATAACCTTTTTCTTCCTAAAACACATGTATTCTTATTGTCCTGTGCCCCAGAATTACCACTTCACAGAATACCCATAAAACAATACAAAGAAGCACATGTAGAACAGGGTTTTCATAATATCTAAGACAATTCTATTCTAAGTTTGTGCTATCTGAAGAATAATGAATCCATCAGTCCAGATGGTGATGGATTACCCTAAATTAACAGTAATTAAAAGTAGCAATGAAAACCAAAAAAAAGCGTATTTGGAGGAAAAATAAGATTGTATTTCTTTTTAGAAAGAAAGTATGTTAAACATCTATGTCTTTACTTTTTAGTACATTTATATGGCACAGTAGAATTTTACTTCTACATATCTTTATATATGTTATATGGAAGTGATTTATCAGAAAAAGCCTAAGTGAGCTTTGCATTTAAAATAGGAACGCTGTGTCTCATGGGGCATAGGTAAGTGGAATATTACAGCATTACATACATATTATCTTTACTTTTTGATGAATCAGGAATTATTTTTTACTAAATAATTATAAATTTAAATAGTTTTATGTAAAAAGTTTTTTTAACTATCGCTGATAGAATACAATGCACCAGGTGTTGCCTGTCTGTGTAGATTTTTTATAAGCAGAGCTGGCTTGAGGCTTTTCAGCTATATACAAAAGAGTGATTTTGCAGAACTAGGACAGGGAATTGTCTTGAGTGTGGCCATTTTCTCTTTCTTCCCTTATACCCAGCTGCCCTGTTCTCTTGCTCCAGTAAATTAAGGAGTCCTCGTTTCCAGTGACTCAAAAATTCCTACCATACAAAGCCTTCCTCTTCCACACCCAGACAGAAGACGCATCTTGTTCTCCCAATTCCAGTCCCTATAAAGTCTCATATACCTCCTCAGCTCACTAGACTGAGGGAAGGGTTAAAGAAGAGCTAGAGTGTTGCAGCTCAGAGCAGCTTCCTGCCTTAAGCCAGTTGTAATTAGTAG